GGCTAGCGCAGCGTCGAACGCAGCGACAGCAGCCGCCGCATCGCTCAAGTGGCAGATCGCAATACCGATCGCCATGTGGGACTGGACCAAGGTCGGGTCGAGCTCGGTCGCGCGCTGTATATATTAGTTGGAGAGACCTATTTGGAGCTGGGCCCACCAACCTGAGAGTAGTGGAGCGCCGAGCGATAGTCGCGCAGATGAGAGTACACCGCGCCGAGGTTGTGGTACACGAATGCGTTCTCGGGCGCAATGATCTAGTCGCAAGACTCTAGTACGACGAACTAGACTAGACAACTTGATACCAAAGCGTCGTTGGTCAGTGTGAGGGCCGTGTCATGGTCGCCTTGCTGCAAATGCACGGCCGCGAGGTTGATCAGCAGCGGCAGGAAGCTCGGGTGCGACCGGTTCAAGGGTGTTAACGGTATCGCAAAGACAGACGCTGCCTTCTCGAAGTCGAGCTGGTCGCGGTAGATGAGCCCAAGAGAGTTAAAGGCGTCCATGTGGGCTTGGTGGAACGGCGGCGCAGCGATAGCAACAGCCGCTTCGAGCACAGCGACCGCATGAGAGCCTGGGAAATGGTCGAGAAGCAGCTGCGCGTAGGCGTACTGCGCGTCAAAGTCGTGCGTATCAAGGCTGAGCAGCGCCTCGTAGCAACCACGGGCCACGTCAAAATGGCTTGCTGCAGTGTAGGCAGCGCATGTTCTGCGCATCTCACTGGCACTTGGAGCTGCCTACGAAGAATCATCAGTGTATTGATGTGGCGACACGAGCGAGAGACCTGTACGGTAGTGTCAGGGGCTAGCTCCACGGTGTGCGTCGCAGGCGCGAGCTCGGCTGGCCGCGCCAAGGACGGTAGCATGCTCGTGGCATCACGCGTCAGAAGCGCCATTTCGCCGAAGATGCATGCGGCGCCGAGCCACAAGAGCGTGACGAGGTAGAGAGGCGAGGCCATGGCGGAAGCGGCGTCTAATGCCCCAGTGCCACGCGATTGCGATCTTTTGACAAGCGTACTTAATCAGACATACATGCTTGTTAAGTGCGGCTAGGTACACCCAATATGTTGAGCTTTGCAACAGCGAGTCAAGAGTCGAGGTCAATGTTGCCTTCCTGGTACTCGGGTAGACCAATGCATTCCCTAAGCTGGCATGGTGTTGTACGAGTGCTTGTATATTAAGAAGTTACGAAGAAGGATGTTGAGAAGGAGGACGAAGGCGTCTCGCGCTTGACCTCGTCCGCCGCGTGCTTTATCGACCGCGGTGAAACGAGCTCGCACCATAGCCAGTTGCGTGCATTTAGATGCTCGCTGAAGTACGGTGGACGACCTGTGAGCATCACGTGGCAGCACAGAAGGCGTGACGACTGGCCATGGACGTGGCAGCGATCCACGGTCATTACGAAATCGTTGCCTTCTTGCTATCCGAGCGGCACGAAGGCTTCACGCCCGCCGCGCTCCAAGCTACGTCAAGTCGCAAGATTCGTCAATTGCTAGAAGCGCATGCAGCGTCGCATCTTCGTCCAGCGACCACCGTGCTTGCGCCCGCAGACGACCCTCTCGCGTGGCTGTCCACCCCCGTACATTGACTCGACGCCTCTAGTATCACTGCGTTGCACATGAACGTCGTGGGATCTTGACGTCTCTCGTCATCGAGCACAGAGCGACGAGACATTGGTTGCGATAGGATTAGGGTTAGGGTTACACTAGGGGTCGGGTTCTGCCGGGTCGCCGATGCCACAGACGAGGGACAATGGCAAAAAGTGCGATTGGTGTAGCATTAGCTGCCTACGAGTCTATGGTTTACGCACTTAGTGCTTGTACGCGTTCCCGAACGCGACCGCATGGGGGAACCAGCCCTTGACCTTGGCAGCAAACGCCGTGGACTCTTTGGCGTCCGAAAAGCGCGCGACGACCGCAACCGCCGCTTCGTACGTCTCGACCGCCCCCTGCGCCTTGTCTTCGAGAAGCCACGCGCTGATCCAGCTCTTGCTGGCCTTGGCGTCGACGAGGCAAGCAGCTTCGGCGACGGCGACGCGCCACACCAAGCTCGTCGCACCGTGCGAGCTCTTGGCCGCCGCGACGACCGCCGAGAGGTCCTTGGCGCCACGGAAGAGGATCGTCTTGGCCTCGCCGAGGAGTTTGGCAACCAGTGGCGACGCAATCGGCGTGACCGAGTAGAGCTGCACAAGGCGCACCAAGAGCGGTGCGCTCCATGCATCGCGGGGCGCCGCCAAGAGCGCTTCGAGGCAGAGAAGGTACTTTTGTTGCCGGAATGCCACGTCGAACGCCGCCACGTTGGTCTCGACGGCGTTGGGCGCGTACTCCTTGAGGATGCTCACGAGGCGCCACGCCTCCTCGAGCGGCGCCTTGGTAAGGAGCGCCTCGCCGAGCGGGTCGGTGTCGACTGGCGTCTCACGCGCACGCTGCGTCGGCTTCTTCTTGGTCTTGTCGAGCTTCTCGCGCTCGGCGGCCTCCTGCTCCTTCTGGAGCTGCGACTGCACGTTGGCTTCTTCGGCCTTGCGGAACTCGGCCTTGCGGGCCTTGGCGGCCGCACGCTTGGCCTTGGCCTTGTCGGCCGCCGACATCTTGGCATCCGGGCTCGTCTCCACCGCAGAGGCGTTGGGCACGTCAAAGCGGGCGAGCTGGACCGCGATCGCGCCGTGGAGCGCCTTGACCATGACCTTGTGCTGCAGCAGCGTGTCGCACATGCGGAGCATCTGCACATACGCACGCAGCGTCATCTTGCGCATGCAGTAGCTGTGAAAGTCAAACTGGTCGTCCTATATAGTCGCGAAAAATGAGAAAAAATGCATAAAAACTGTACAAAACTGTACAAAATGTACAAAAATGTACACATTTTGGAACAGGACGTACAATAAAGTCGTTGAAGTGCTTCTCGACGGCCGCAAACTTCTTGAGCGCGGGGCCGTTGGCCTGCAGACGCGAGTGCGCAGCCGCGACCGCGTTCTCGTACCACATGCACTGCATCTCAAAGAGGTTCTGCTGCGGGTCGCCTTCATGGCGCGTGAAGAGCGCGATCGTCGCTTCGGCCTCAGCGATCCGGTTGGCGCGCAAAAAGTACTTGGTCGCCTTGTTGTTGATGTACCTAGCCCCACATGCTACATAAAGAGGATGTCAAGGATCAAGCCAGTACCGATCTGCAAGGTCGAGCTTGCGGCCTTCGTCCACGATCGTCGCGGCGGCCGAGTAGTCGCCAGCGTGCTTGAGGATGCGGCCCTTCATCTGGTAAAACTCGAGGACTGTCGGCGTGTGCGTGAGGCACTTGTCGATGAACTCGAGCGCGCGGCTCACTTCACGGAGGCGGTCGTAGTGCTGCGCGGCCAAGTAGAGGCGCCAGACCCACTCGCTCGACGCCACGCTAGCTTCCTCCGAGAGGTACGTTGCCATGAGCTCCGAGAGGAGCGGCTGCGCGGCAGGCGAAGCGTAGAGCGACTTGACGTCCGAGCCGAGCGACGGCACGCCCTTCTTGAGCCCACGGCGAAGGTACGCATCGAGCTTGGCCTTGAGGTCGGCGCCGCTGAGAACGTCGAGCGCAATGCGGCAGTGCGTTTGGCAGTCGGGCGTCTTGTTGTAGTACGCAGCGAGCGTCGTCTTCTCGGCCTGCGTGAGCGAAGCGGTCGTCGACGGGAGCGACGAGAGCTTGAGCCACGAGGGCTGCTGGCAGAGCGCAGCCTGGACGCCGCGGTGGTACGCGTAGTTGTCCATGTTGATGTCGAGGAGCTCGGCGTAGATGGCCATCGCGTCGTCGTGCGCGCCCTCTGCACATGCACATGTGAGCGAGGCGGTGATCGAGGATGGAGGACGTACGGAGGATCAAGCACTCGGCCTTGCGCTGACGCCACACGAGCGTGTCGAGCACATACGGCTTGATGGTCTCGAGGTGCGCAAGGCAGGCAGCAATGTCGCCCGTCTCCTGGATGATCTCGTTCTGGTAGAGGTACATTTCGCTGTCGTCGTAGTTGCTACAAGGGCATCGTTGGCATAGGAGGAAGAGACATGGGCGCGTACGCATCCCGCGACGATTCGAGCGTCGCCGAGTACTTGTCGAGGATGTCGATCGCCGTCTGGTGCGTGCCATGCAGGTGGTGCGCGATCGCGAGGCCAATCCAGTTGTTGCGGTTGTTGGGCTTGAGCGTGAGGAACATGCGGCGCGTCTCGCAGTAGCCCTTGAGGTCGCGCATCTGCACCTGGAGCAGGTAGAGATCGCGGAGGATCTGCGCATTGTCCGGGTCAATGCGCAACGCTTGGCGGTAGCACTAGCATGCGTGTGAGCGACAAATGTGACGTCAGAGAGCGTACCTTGATGGCCTCGGCGTAGTTGCGGTCCGAGCGGTACAGGAGGCCGTAGACGTGCCAGCACACGTGCGACTTGAGGTCGCGCTTGACGCCCTGACGCACAAACTCGTACGCTTCCTAGAGCATCGCCTCAGCGCCACGCATGCAGGATCGATGCACGTACTTCCTTCTTGCCCATGCAGTTCAAGGTCAAGCCCTTCATGGCGAGCGTCTCGCCGTGCTCCGGGAACTTCTTGAGGATCGCGTCCGCCGCCTTGAGACCCTTCTTGTACTGCTTGATCTCATAGTATTTCTACCTCGCGCATGAGCCATACGCCCAGGGCGACCATCATGACGTACCACAATGGAGCGGAAGAGCGTGCTCTCCTTCGAGGGCAACTGCTTGGACATGGCGGCTGGCGTCGGCCACAAAATGCTGAGTGGCTCGTCAGCAATTCGCTGGTCGTATACCCCGGGGTACCTCGAAAAACCAGGGCCCCCATAATTGTATCTTTGGCTTTGCAGCCTACATATCTCATTTTTTGTATTGTGTAAAAACACCATGAATAAAAATACATGGGGCCCTCCTCAAACGATACAGGCGTTGCGTACACCGGGTGCTTCAAGTGCACACTTAAGCGAATGGCTAATTGCACGCCAGGATTTGCCCGCTTCAACGCGATGAGGCAAAGCCCCACAGAGCCTCTCTGGAGCAGCGCAGGCCAAAGCAGCCAAGCTACAAGACGCTATACGAATGCACCCAACAGGCCAAGCCACACGGGGCGCTCCGTAAAAAAGCTGCTGCATTGGATCAGATAGCGAACCGTCGAAGCATAAAAAGGCGCCGTTGGCCTCGATCTGGCGACGACGACCCACAGGACATCCACTCGACTGCATTAGCGATTGTCGAGCCGAGCGCAACGTGCCGCAGTGCTACGAGTTGCTGTCCGCGTCGTTCACGTGCATTCCAGGCCGACAGAGCGGAGCAGAGTGGGCAAACCCAGCTGGGTGTTTCTAGTCGTACCTAATGTACCACTCTACCCGATAAAGTGCGGTTTACCGCAACTCGACTCAAGATCGCAATCGCGTGGCACTGGCAGCGAGCGCATCGGACGCCGCTTCCGCCATGGCCTCGCCTCTCTACCTCGTCACGCTCTTGTGGCTCGGCGCCGCATGCATCTTCGGCGAAATGGCGCTTCTGACGCGTGATGCCACGAGCATGCTACCGTCCTTGGCGCGGCCAGCCGAGCTC